AATTTTTGTGTGAAAGAAGTTTTCCTGCAACATAGCTTCTTTAGCCCGTTATGGGAACATCTATTGAAAAATGTTCCCCCACGCTTACAGGGGCAGTGCCAGGAGTCAGCATCTCCCACAACGAATAGAAAAATCACGGCATTTAAAGCACTTCAGTCTTGAAAGCCTTTTCTATTAAAGAAAAAGACCAAAGAAAGTATCACTTCACATTCATCATCTTTTTTCCACGATTAAATGATTGAAAGCGAAGTTTTATGGCTTCATATCTTTTAAGTATACACATATAAAGCTAAAGTCCCCAAATTGTTACTTAAAAAATACTTAGGGAGTGGTAGTGTTGTTATATCAGATTCCCTGATGCCCATTTTGTTTTATTGCTCCAGCATCAGCCTATGTGACTGATTTTTCACACACACACACACACACACACACACGGTATTAACTAGTGAAGGCAGGTATACTTGCCAAATTTCTAAAAATGTCTCTGTACTTTTAGCCGAAGTTCTGTGTTTGTTCCTGTTTGAGTTTTCACTGAAGGGCCCCCAGTTGTGTTTTATGATAATTCAGTATTTTCTTTGAGGAGTACAGACATCCCAGGAACATAACCCACAGGAGATGTAGTAGTCCTTCATGTATATTCATATGTGACATGTTTATACATAGTTGAATGAGCATCATGGAGGGATAACTAGGCCGTTAGCATTAATTATCTAATGGAGTGGGATTGAGAAGGATTATTAACTCTATATTATTCAACTTGTTAGAGGAAGCATCTATCACTTTTGTTAGTAAAGGGATTTAATAAATAGAAATTGAAATCAATCCGTAGCTTTGTGTATTTAGGATTCTTTTTTAAGAAACTTAAAACAGTGAAGTCAGGTATAGATTTTTTTCGTAGAAGAAAAATACAGATTATCTGGCTACTGATTAGCTCAACTCTAGTATTTCTAATACCTTCATATTCTTCAGTAGAAACATCTATACAAAAAATTACATCTCAAAGATAATTTTTAGATATGCTTTCCTTAAGATCCAACTTTTCTAATGCTCATATTCTTGAGTCACGTAATGTTAAACATTTTTCATCTTAGTTTATTTCAGAAATCTTTTGTATTTAGCAATAAATTGATTAAACTAGTATATTCACCAATGAAAGATGAATATTGTTTCCATGTGAAACCAAGGCTAATAAATTCTCAAAGTCCCCTTTATTTAATTAAGACTCAACCTTCTTTTGCCAAGAAATGAATTGCTTGGTGTAATTACAGTCTTCTTTTTAAAAGGGAACAAAATTAATTCTCTGCATTTTGTGAATTTTCATAAGTTTTCTAAGGCTCTGAGCCTTCAGTAATTCCAAATAAGTGTAAGTGCCCTTGTAATTTTCCAACATTAGAGGAGCCTCAGGCCCTAAGAGGTGGTTTGTTTGTTTTAAATCACAGGTACTAATAAAAGAAAAAATATTTTTGAATGTAAATATTTACTGGGAGTTTCTTAATCATAGGCTCCACATAGCACTAACAAAGCAGCTCTTCACATAAAATACAAAAATTAGTCAGTTGAAAACGTCAGAAAAATGTCAGTAACAATTTGAGTGTATTTGGGATTGAGAAAACAAAATACTAATCCTTTTCTTAGTTAAGGTTTGTGTGTTATATATAATCAGTTGCTCTTGTAGCAAGCTTTTATTTTTTTCATTAAAGTAGCACCAAATTAATATCTTTTAAAGACCATGAGATTATAATCAAGATCTGATTCAAGCACTACATTTTTTTAAAATTAATCCTCACCTGAGGATATTTTTCCATTGCTTTTAGATAGAGTGGAAGGGAGGAGGGTAGAGGGGGTGGGGAAGAGAGAGAGAGGAACATCAATGTGAAAGAGACACATCTATTGGTTGCCTCCCTCCAAGCACTACATTTTCACAGGGGAATTCTTTCTCTCTGAGGAGCTAGCAAAGCTTGTAAAAACCATGACCATTTGGTCTAATAGATCATGATAGTTTTAAGGATTAGTTGATTCAGGCTATAAGAGAACAAGATACATTATACATGATGAAACAACTATAAAGAAAAATAGAGGGACCCTATCTTCTCCTTGATCTTTTCTATATTCTGAGAGATGTAACTTACAACTGAATATGCATAGTAGCTTTTCAAATGAAACTATTAAGGTTAAGCCTGCATGAAGAATTCTGATACTATTACTATAGCTCTAAATGAAAATGAGATGATTATCAGGTCAAAGGAAATCAGTAGTTTCCTAGTTTTTGGAGGGGGTAAAGTGAAAATAGACAGTGAGAGAGCATTGGGGGCTGATATGGGATGGGACTGGTGGATCCTTTAGCTTGGGCCTTCCATTCATGGAGGGCCTTAAATTTAAACTTTCAGTATTATCCCCAATTAAGGTTTATTTACAGTTGTATGTTTTTTTGTTTTATTTTTGCCTCAGTGTTAACTATAAAATGTACTATGAATTATTCCAACTATAAAATGTACCATGAATTATTCTAACTATTTCGGCTTTTTTCTTTCCTTTTCTACATGCTAGGAGCCTAGAAAGAATGGAAATGGCGGGAGCATCTCTTGACCTCTCCGAGGAGCAGAATATTTTAGGTAGGAAATAGCATCAGAAAACACTAACTAGATGCCTGCTATAAGGAATTCAAATGAAAAGTTTTGGATGTTGCTGTTGTATTTTAAGATATGTAGGTGCTTCTAAAGTTTGCCCGGAAGGGAAAAATATGTGAAAACATCCAGGCAAATTCTGAAAAGGAAGTTCCTAAGGGAAACTTGATGCAGCAGATAGCAAAATGGGGTAACATACCTACCTCTTAGGGTTGTCATGACAACAAAAAGGTATTGTTCAGTTAAAATCCTTGGAAGAGCCCTGGCCGGCTTGACTCAGTGGATAGAGCATCGGCCTGCGGGCTGAGGGGCCCTGGGTTCGACTCCAGCCAAGGGCACATGCCTGGGTTGCGGGCTCAATCCCTAGTGGGGGGTGTGCAGGAGGCAGTCAATCAATGATTCTCTCTCATCATTGATGTTTCTCTCCCTCTCTCTCCTTCTCTGAAATCAATAAAGAAATATTAAAAAAAAAAAAAGAAATCAGGAAGAGCATCTGACAGAGAACCGTTTTTTCTCTTTTTGAGCATGCAGTATTTTTCCTTTATTCAGAATGGACAGATTTTTCTAGCAGTCCCCGCACACATGTAGTAATAGTGTAAGACACGCATGGGAGTGCAAGCCCCCAGTTCAGGGCAGCGGTGACCTCCTCGGAGTGGGGGAGGGAATAGGATCCAGAATGTTCCTCTTGGCTTGTGGCATCAAGGGGCCCCCGCTTGCCTTGTAATACTTGATTTTTTTTAAAAGGCAAAATTTAAAGATTTTTCTAAGCTGGAAAGGAAGTCCATGGATACTCATTACTCAAACCCAACAGGACAGGGTTCTTTCTGACATCTCTCCTTTTCTTATTTGTAACTTTTCCCCCCAGCATGAGAGAAAAGAACCTGGCTCAAATTATCTCTCATATGTTTACTTAACTCGTTCAAACCTAGTAGACAGATAAAGCAGTGGTTCTAACTGGGGGCAGTTTTGTTTCCCAGGGGACGTTTCTGTCATTGGCTGGAGATGTTTTTGGTTGTCCTCAATGTCCTACAGTGCACAGGACAGCCTCCAGAAGAAAGAGGGACATAGTCTAAAATGCCAGGAGTGCCAAGGGTGAGAAAGAAACCTTGACACAAAGCCGTCTCACTAGCCGGTCCCCCCGTGACAAATAAATGTACTCACTCCAATATAATACTTGTGTACAGGTCTTTCTTTAGTCTTACAGTATTTACTCAAAACAGTGTTGTCCATGTTTATTAGGGTCAGTTCTTTCCCCCTCCAACATACTTAGGTGATTGATGATACAGTCAGGATCATCTGTTACTGTGTTTCTTTCAGTTTGGGGGCTTATTTATTTGTTATTGTGAGAGTGTGTGGAACACGATTCTGAGAGAGCAGGACAAAAAGGGACACAGAGAAGTGGGGGAAATTGTTAAAAGTTCTCCACGTGATTCTGATGTTCACCTGTTTTCAGAACCACTCGTCTAGCTCATGGGCTTTGAAGTGAGACCTGAATGTAACTCGTTTCCTGCCAGGTATGTGATGTTGGGTAAGTTACTTGCCCTCCTTCAGCCTCCAACTCCTACTCCTAAGGATTGTTGTGAGGATGTAGAATATATATGCGGTGTTCATCCCAGTGCCAACCCGAAGGGGGGCCCCAGATGATCGCTGTTTCAATTCTTTCACGTACCCTTTTAGCAAATATTGTGTTGCTACTCGGTACTGAGGCACTGCACTATGTCCTAACATGGTTCATGCCTTTGAGTAGTTCACATTTTAGGGGCCTTATAGCGGTTTTGCAGAAAATGCAGTGACTGTTTCTTACATTGACGTGCAATATAAGAGGTTCAGATAGTCATGATTTTCTGGAAGCTTTTCCCTAGAAAGCCTCACTAATGCAGACTGTGCACGTATCATGTGAACTATCAAGGTAAAAAAATACAGGTAAATAGATAGTTATGTGTCTCTGCCTCTCTCAAATGTAAGTCATTTCAGGCTTTTAAAAATGGATATCAAACCATGTGAAGTTGAATTCTCAGTAGTGAGTGCCTGCCAATAAGGGTTGAGTGTTCTCAGGTATGAGACATTTAAATGGTGTTATTATATCTGTGTAGAATGTCTACACATCATCTGGGGATCTCGTTAAAAAGCAGACTCAGTCAGTAGTGTGGGGCGGGGCCTGGGAACCCACATTTCTAACCAGCTCCCAGCAGCTGCAGCTGGTTGAGGTCGCGCTTTGACTAGTAAGGGTTTATTGCACTGACTTTGAAAGCACGCTTTCTGGCTTTGAATCCCAGTTCTTCAACGTATTAGATGTGAGTCTGCTGTGAGGGACTGTTTTCACTCTCTGTGTATATGGTACCTCAAGGTATTAGCTGCCGATGTCACCCCTTTAAACATTTGAACATTTAACAAAAAATGTTTTCATTGATTTTAGAGAGGAAGGGAGAGGGAGACCGAGATAGAAACATTGATGAGAGAGAAACATCAACATTGATCGGCTGCCTCCCGCACGCCCCCTGCCAGGGATGGAGCCTGCGACCCAGGCATGTTCCCCTGACCAGGCATGGAACCGGCAGCCTCCCAGCACATGGGTTGTTGCTCACCCACTGAGCCACACTGGCTGGGCACATTTGAACATTTTAAATTAACACTCAGCATAGAAGACAAACCTCTAACAACTGATGGGTAGAACCGAAACAGTGTCCTGAGAAGGCAGCTAAAGAGTCTCCTTTCACTTGGAACCACGTGTTATCTGTGAGGGTTCTTTCTCCCACTAAACCAGCGATGGTGAACCTTTTGAGCTCGGCGTGTCAGCATTTTGAAAAACCCTAACTTAACTCTGGTGCCATGTCACATATAGAAATTTTTTGAAATTTGCACCCATAGTAAAACCAAGACTTATATTCTTGATATTTATTTTATATATTTAAATGCCATTTAACAAAGAAAAAGCAACCAAAAAAATGAGTTCGCGTGTCGCCTGTGACACGCGAGTCATAGGTTCGCCATCACTGCACTAAACCAAGTACCTGAAGAAACCGAAGTTAGAACCAGACTTGCAAATCACTTCACCACAAGGGGTTAAATGAAGATTGAAAAGCACACATACGTATAACAACACTGTTCTCACTGTTAACATATTAATCAAATAATTTTAATGAAATAATTTTTGAACTATTAATAAATGGAACTTTAATATATTATTTACTTCATCAGTCCTTTTAAGATTTCTAATATGTGTGTGTTTGAATTTGCCTAATTTCTTGGTATAGAAATACATTTCTATGATTTACATTCCAAATTGGGGGTACGGGTTACTTTGCTCATGAGGGGTGGGAGAAAAAGGTGGTGATTCTACTGCCGTTGGCACAGAGAAGAGGACTTTGTTCTGAAAAAAATAATTGAGGGCGACGTTAATAGCTGTGGGAGGAAGGGCTTGTGGAGAAAGACCGCTCAGTGTTCCATCTCCAGCTCAGATCACATTGCTGATACGCACATTCCTTTTCCGTCCCTCCTCTCTGTTTTTCCGATGCTGAGGGCAGAGAGCTAAGCGTGGGGAGCCTGGATAGGGAGTGCTGGGGGGGACACGAGACAGGAAGCCGAGCCATATTCAGAGGTTTATTAGATACCACCCCTGACGACAGGAGCAGCTACCACACCTGATGGCCTGCTGTTAGATCCAGGTATGCGTGCATTCAAAAATGTTTATTGAGCACCTACTGTGCGCTTAAAAATTACATTGGAAAAGACCACAGAGCCTCCAAACGTGTTTTCAGACAAAGCCGGCTCCAGTGGCTGTCTGAAGACGTTTAGATGGCTCTGGTGGCTGATACCTGCATTTCTTCCTTAAGGAGGATTAACTTAGTGCAGGAGACAACCAGCCCCACTGTGGCTGGCTGGGGGCCAGCTCTTTGAAGTTCCTTCCTCACACAGACTAACCCTGTCAATCCCAAAGGCAGAGGAAGCTGGCCTGCACTTTGATGTCAGGACGGCTCTGAGAGACCATCTTAGGTTGCGCTGCCTTTGAAGCAGGGACTCAAGGCAATCTTTGCTTACACGGGGCCAATCATTTGACCTAGCAAGCCTAGAAAGAAAAACCCTTTGCCAAAAGGGACTTGGAAATAGCTACGAGTGATTGGAAACATCACGTCTCTACGGAGAGCTTCCAGAGAGATCAGTTGGCGTTAATCTGGTTTACCTAAAGGCGGAGGATTAGTTGTTCAAAATGGTTCCTTATGGGTATTTGCAGGTCGATGGAGTGCGTCTCTGAATTCTTGGGGCAGCGGCTGCTTAACTGCAGACACTTCTGGGAGGAGCTGGTTTATTGCTAAATGCACAACAATCCATAAACAAAGGGTGCGGTTGAAAGGTTTTAAAGCCAGCTGTGAAGGGTTTGGAGTGGGGAAGACAGCCACAGAAGCCGAAGGATCGGTCTCAGCGATATTACCTTATCAGGTTTCTCCTGATGCCAGGTCAATCAATGGGAACCGGGAGCCGAAAGCTGGAGCGGGTTACCCACGTGCACCTTGGAGTGTTGCTTGTTAAGACAGGCACATTGTTGGAATATTTGTTTGAATACCTGAACTGCCAGCCCTTCTCTTCCTGGCTCTTGTCATCCTAGGGGCTGCCTGCCCCCAGCATCTGGACATTTCCCAGGCAGCTGCCATTCAAAGAAACTTGTCCAGGTGTCTTCTGCTCCCACTGCTCTTCAATTCATAGCCAAAACACTTGTTAGTTTCAAGCATGATAGTTGCCTGAACTAGGTAATCATTTATAAATGCCATATTGTCTTTTTGAAATTTAATCTTGTTTTATTCATCTATCTATCTATCTATCTATCTATCTATTTATTCAGTTTATTTAAACAAAAAGTTCTCTCACTGTACACCCCCCGCCCCCACCTCTGGCAACCACAAACCTGTCCTCTGTATCTTATTTACGCATGGATTATTTAGATTTTTAAGTTCACATACAACAGAGATCATATGGTATTTGTATTTGTCTAACTTATTTCACTTAGCGTGAGGCCTTCAAGTTCCATCCATGTTGTCACAAATGGAAAGATTTTATTCTTTTTTATGGCTGAATAATATTCCATTGTATGAGTGTGTGTATACATACTTACCACAGTGTTTTTATCCACTCATCCATTGATGGACATTTAGATTGTTTCCATATTTACTATAAATAATGCTGCAGTGAACATGGGATACATATATCTCTTTTAGTTAGTATTTTCATTTTCTTTCGGTCAGTACCCAGAAGTGCAATTGCTGGACCGTATGCTAGTTCAGTTATTATTTTAGGAACCTCCATCAGATTTTCCATAGTGGCTGCACTGATTTACATTCCCACCAACTGTGCACAAGGGTTCCCTTTTCTCCAAATCTTTGCTAGTACTTGTTATTTCTAGTCTTTTTGATGATAGCCATTTAACAGGTGTGAGGTGATATCTCATTGTGGTTTTGATTTGCATTTCCCTGATAGTGATGTTGAACGTCTTTTCATGTACCTGTTTGGAAAATTCAGATGATCTGCCCATTTTTAATCAGATTGTTTATTTTTTTTGCTCTTGAGTTGTATGAGTTCTTCATATACTTTGGATATTAGCTCCTTATCAGATATATGATTTGTAAATAGTAGGTTGCCTCTTCATTTTGCTGATAGTTTTCTTTGCTTTAGTATCTATAAATATCGCATTAGTCTTGTTTTTTATATTTTTATGTTCAAAATAATGATATCTTTAAGAATAGAAAGAGAGCTTTGTCCTAATTTGGCAGGTTGGAGTGGGGTTAGAGGTCAGACTAACAGAGGCCTGGCACTGCTGACCCGCCAGCATTTGGTCGTTTCAGTCCTGATCTGAGTCAATAATCATGGGTTCCGATTGGAACGCTCTGGGCCCTTGGCTACAGATCCCTGAAGGACTTCACCCTTTTGCAAAGTGGATCTGCCTGAATGTTAGGAGCAAGTTGGCGTTTCATACCAGTTGCTTCATTTAAGACCGTTTCTGGGAGATGTTTTAGCTCTGTAGAGTTACCCCAAATAGTCCCAACATGGCCCTATTTAAGGTCCCGCATTCACCTCCAAGTGATGGGTGGGCAATGGGGAGAAAGGCCCTCTAGTAATTTTTGATTTTAGATAGACTAGCCACCCATATTCCCATGTGAAATACAGGCTGGCTACTCCATGGACATGAATGAGATGGAGTAAAACCCTATGTGCATATCATATATACAAATATGTATTGAACAAACTAAAAAGTAAGGCTTTCAAGCTATTGCATGGGTAGGACAAATAAATCTTAAGAAGTAAAGCATTTTAAAAAGTTTTCAGAGGTATTTTTATTATATGAAAAGAGTTAAAAAGTTCTACTTTTGGTAAATTTGTTTTCTAGAGCAAGAGAAGGCGGCGGGTGGGGCAGTGTAAAAGTGATAAAATTAGAATGTCCAACACAATGAGGGAGTCTTTTAAACTTTGAGTTTTTCGGTGTTTTTATCAGAAGATACTCTGATAACAGAATAAATTCAGCTGCACATTGAAGGTAAC